CGTGGAAATTTGCAATTCAAGTTGATGCCGCGGGGGAATGAGAGGAAACGTTGGAGAACACTGGGTGGAAGGTGTGTTTGTTGGGTGATTGGAAGAATTTTTAGGAATAATCAAGTTGCTATGGTTAGAATCATGGTAATAGTGATCTTGATTGTTGATTGTTTCTTAGTGTTCTTGTAGGTGGTTCGAACCGTGGAATTTTGCAATTCAAGTTGATGCCTTCGGGGAACGAGAAGAACGTTGGAGAACACTGGGTGGAAGATGTAGATTGTTGGGTGATTGGAAGAATTTTTAGGAATGATGAAGTTATAGTTCTAATGATGGTAACAGGAATGGCAATAGCGATGTTGACAGTTTAGGTTTTCTTACTGTAAGTAGTTAGTAGAAATTTGCAATTCAAGTTGATGCCTTCGAGGCATGAGAAAAAAGCATTGACGCATCGACGTTGGTAATAAACATAACGATGATGCGATTTGGTAACTCGGAGTGTTGATAGACGCAGACGTAATAATAGACTAAACATTTGCAATTCAAGTTGGCAACAAAAAGAACGTTTATCGTTTATACTATTCCTACAGCTAATTACGATAAGCCTCATTCCCATTCGCGGACAAAAATAGAACACAAGTCATGTGTTCGACGTTAACGCAAAGAGTTAACGTCGAAAGTATGAATTTTCCTAAGTGAAACTCCAATGAATTCGTCGATTCAGCGATCGAATTCGAGGAACATCGAACCGTTCGGTTAAGAAACAGCCGAGTAAAACGGTTCAACGATCCCGAACCCGCGAGCAGACAGAGCCCACCGCGGTTCCAGACAAACGGGGCATCAATTACGCGAATATATTCCCGTCGACTGGAGAATCTTTTCATCGCGTCGACGGAAAGACGGCGGGGGAAACGAATGGCGACCGGTTCGCCCATCTTTGATGTCGCGAAACGATCGTCGCTGACGACGAATTAACGCCAGAACTACAGAGCACTTGGATTCATTTTTCAACATTCCTTTAGAGAAACTGTGGCGGTGCGTTGATTGAGATATGAATTAAGCTGTGTATCAATGAATCAACTACTTTAACACGTTGCGTACCTAATTATCAGAAAATTAAATTGTGCGGATTTTCAGTGGGATCCACTTATATCAATGGGACTCGCGATGACGATTTCTAGATTAATTCAACAAAAATCAATGTGGTTCAGCCAAATAGCTCAAAGCAAAAAATTTTGCTACTATCAATGTAAACATTTTCTTCAAATGAAATTTCCACCTGAAGTAGAATGGAGAATTTTGTTGCATTTCTTCCAAATTGTCGATAGTAAAATATTACAGGAGCTTAGTAGTGAGAGTAAATAATACAAGGGTTAACCCTTCCATCATAGCGTCCTGCATATTAAATACTTAGTGTATCTAAATTCGGTAAATTTGTTTGTAAACATTTTCCTCATATCATCACAACCATAGCTTCTATTTAATGTCGAAAACTTTTCTAAAATTGTGTCAACAATTCGTGTCACAAAATAAAATTAAAGGCGCATATTCAAGTAGACTCAGAAAAAAAGAACTCGTGACCGAAAGGGTCAAGCTGGTGTTGAGCGGCGGGAGAGATGGCATCCCGCCGCGTGAGCTAGCCGAAAAACGGTCGCCGTCTACGATCCGAAATAGAACGGAAGGAGGAAGATTCGAGAAGAGACTGCTGGCCGACTCGGGGAACCCGTCCACCTGTCCCTGTCTGTCGGCTGTTGATTGGTTCCGATCGGCAGACACTCGCCTCGTTTGTTGCCACCGTTCCGGCCTTCGTGGACTCTTTGTCATTCTTTTCGGGGCCTTGAGCTTCGACGGATCGCGAATGTGGGTCGGAGTTAGTGATCGACGTGCGGTGATTGACGATGGGAAAATCTGTAGAGGAATAGAATTAGGTTGTGACTTGAATGGATCGTTAACAGTAGAACTACCGAGTAGTTCGATTGACTTTTTAAAATTCCTCTGTGGACTTCGAGAGTGGATCTATTGGGACTTTAAATGATTCACAATTCAGTTCTGGTATTGCTGAATTAGTATTCCTAAGAGATATTCCTCGGAGATATCTGTTGTCTTTTTAATAATTGCAAAATTGGAAGGTAGATGAACAAGTTTCTATGAGGTAATGAGTATTTCTTATTGAATGTGAGAATTTGATGATTTTTCCTTAGTAGATTGTGCATGGATTTGGAGAAGAATGAGGAATGTTGTTGCAGTGAGTGGATTGATGTTGCTGATAAGTGAAAGTAAACTTTACTTTGGAATACTATATCCTTTCAATGAGTATTCCATGGATGAAGGTTCAGAAAATCTAATCAGATACTAAATCTATGTTACATTTAAACGTAGAATGATAACGTTGTTATCTAAAACTCAACAGTTCCTAAAATAGCACTTCTATCATTGAAGACACTACTAGTTATCATTATCTATTCTACGATAATAAATCACTATCAAGGA